GTACAGTTTAACAGTTGTTATGTGCTATTACTGTTATGTATTTAATATAATCTGAAATATCCATAAAATAAATCACTCAGTTAGTTTACTCAATGATAGAAAAGGGTCCCTATAGGAAAAAGGTTTGGGAACCACTGCTTTAAACCATAATCCACTAATCTTAATGTAGACTGATTCGTGAGGGTGAGGGAGGAGGTGGACGGCGACGGACTGAGTGAAATGTGGAGAAAAGTTAAATGGAGCAAAGGTAAGTGGGTCTTTGAAAATGGACATGGACTATCTGTGTAGGACAAAGGTGAGGGAAGCCAACGGGTTCAGCAGCACTGTGGGTGAGACAAACAGATCAATACTGGGAGTTTAACCCGTTTCCAGCTCTGACCTCAAAAAGTTCCCAAATCATTCACGCAGCGGACGTCACAGGTCGTTGGATCGATGCAGGGAACATGACTCAATCCACACAGACACAAACAAACAGCACTCAGTGTTTTCTTACTGGTATTTGTGTAAATGATGAAGTCTGAACACGTAAACGAGTACAATGATTGCGCAGTGCAACAAACAGCCGAAGCTTCAATGTTGCTGCAGCAGCAATTTTGTTGGAATTTACTTTTTGTTGCTATAATAACCTTAAATGAACACATTACAGGGAACTCAAGCAGGAGTGTAGTGGAGGATATACTGATATAACTACTTATTATTCAGTCAACCACTTCTAAATCTCCCTCTTTCTCTAGGATGGCGAAGGCGATCTGATTTTCATGAAGGGATAGAGCAAGGAAGAAGGAATAAAAATTCATAATGATCCTTATGGCCTGAAGTAAAGTGACAATGTACAAATACGACTGGCCCGCTGATTAAAACCCCTAAACACACTGAATAAAGCAGTTCCACCTTAACAATCACTGCTTCTCCCACACTGTTGGACAGACAAAGGACGTCCCGGAGGGGCTGCGAGCCGAGCTGCTGCTGACATTAGCTCAGCTTGTTTCTCTGATAACTTAAGATCCAGACGTCCGATGGTCTCAACTACACAGAGAACATAGAGCCAGAGTTTATACACTGTTCAATGAGGAAATGTTACATATTAGAGCTTTAACTCGTCTAGGCCGGAGAGAATAAAAGACTCCCTGTAAAGATAACAGCTATGTGTGTCAGAGAGGGATCTTATCTGTGCTGCTTTAATAGGAGCGTGTGTGCCGTGACATGGACTCTGCACATCAGCAGCTTTCTATGGTCTCAAAGTTTGTCTAACTAAACTATGTCTGCATTGTTCTCCGGGTGCTACACTGGCCTTTCACGTGCAGAGAGAAGTAGTAAAAGCTCTTCACGGACACACAATCCCCCAAAATCTCCTCCTGATCCCCCTCCCCAAAATCTGTTTCTCATCAGCTCCCATCCCCCCCTCTTCCTCACCCTTTTCTCTTTAAGGCCTGCCTCCATGTCTTGGTTTTCTCCCCCCCCCCTCCTGGCACGAAGCAACAAAACAGGAGTGTGTGTCCCAATCTGCTTGGAACTGTTTATTGTCTTAGAGAGCCCTCTGAACAGACAGAGGCAGCCATTACACAGGGTCTCCGACGTCCTGCTTGTTGTGGGACACGGGTTGGAGGTGGGGGGGGCAGATAAATATTGAGGAGTAATCTGCTGCCTTTTTGGAGAGAGTCCAACAGAAGGAGACAGGAGTGAAATATCTCAGCAGTTGGGTTCTGATATGGGGTATAAGGGCAGTTTTAACGCCTCACAGACACAAAAAGTGTCCTCATCCAAACTCTGACCCCGTTTTTATCCTCCATCCTCATTAGAGCAAATATTCCAATTAAGGACTGTCACGTCGCGCTGCCAAGAGCATCCTCTCATCGGCTGTCAGCTGGAAACATTCGACAGAAGACGGAGACGCTCGCAGTCATTAAACAGAATTAAAGAGGTGGAGCCGATCCAGATCTGGAGACAATAGTCAAGAGGGGTGGCGTGGAGGGGTGGATGAAATATATGCTGATTTAAAGGACCTAGCAGGTGAAGTTGTGGCTAACTGAACACCGCTCGCGTCTGTATTTGACGAGCTGGTTGTGTTTGTGTTTGTGTCCGTTCTGGGTTTACTGTAGAAACATGGCGGTTCAACATGGCGGGCTCATTCTACCGTAACAAAAAACACAATAATTCAGGTGTTTGTACACGAATGAAAACATGAATGTTATATTCCGATAGATCCTCCTTAATGTTTCACACTGGACCTTTAATCACAAACAATCACACTGTATCAGTTAGAGCTCGGAGGCGATACATTAATTTGAATTTACGTTTTAAATGATGCAAAAAAAAAAAAAAAAGTTCTCTATCTAACTTAGCTCTTAACTGGTTTCTATGTTGTATTTGTCTATTTTTACTTTTTGTGAAGCACTCTGTAACTACTTTGACTTTGATTAATTAATATTAATTAATATTCTTATAGAACAGGAAGTGCAGTTTAATGCAAAATTACAAATTATGACCTCAAAAATCCACAAAGTTGCTGCAGGGCTGCATTATTTTACATTATATTACATTATTTTACATTATTTTACATTATATTACATTATTTTACATTATATTACATTATTTTACCTTATTTTACATTATATTACATTATTTTACATTATATTACATTATTTTACATTATATTACATTATTTTACCTTATTTTACCTTATTTTACATTATTTTACCTTATTTTACATATATTACATTATTTTACCTTATTTTACATTATATTACATTATTTTACATTATTTTATATATTTTACATTATTTTACCTTATTTTACATTATATTATATTATTTTACCTTATTTTACATTATTTTACATTATTTTACATTATTTTACATATATTACATTATTTTACATTATATTACATTATTTTACCTTATTTTACATATATTACATTATTTTACATATATTACATTATTTTACCTTATTTTACCTTATTTTACCTTATTTTACCTATTTTACATATTTTACATTATATTACATTATTTGACCTTATTTTACATATATTACATTATTTTACCTTATTTTACATGTATTACATTATTTTACATTATTTTACCTTATTTTACATATATTACATTATTTTACATATATTACATTATTTTACCTTATTTTACCTTATTTTACATATTTTACATATTTTACATTATATTACATTATTTTACATTATTTTACATATTTTACATTATATTACATTATTTTACATTATTTTACAAGCAATGGAAGCAGAACACTGAAGTTACTTAATAACATAGTGATAATAAACATTTATAACATATAGAAAATAATATACTCCTCGTGTGTCTGGTGGTGGTTTTCTGCTTCCTGACAATTATAGGATAGTTATAAAATCACTATTTTATAATTTCCATATAATATGTTGATCTCAAATGATGTGTTATTTTTATTAATTGCTCTTAATTAACCTTTGACAAGGCATCTGTTACCACCGCTCTACATTACTGTTAGCAGGACAGAGTTCATGGTTTTGGGAGGACGGGCAGGTCCGATCCAACAGCATGTGATTTCTTTCTGTACTGCAGGATGAGGAATGTTAATGCAATGAAAATGAATTAGCCTGTGGCTCGTTGTGTGTGCAGTATCTGTCTCCTTACAGCGACTGGTATTAGTGATTACAGGGGTCAGAGTGCAGGACGTCACCTATCTTCCTACGGCTCTAATTCAGTCTTTAAAACCTCATTTGATTTGATCACGGTGTACTTTCTGTAACACGCCCAGTCTCAGGCCTCCTCATTCATAATCCTGCTTGTACAGCTGCAGGATTACAACACAATATTTCACAATGTTGACCTTGCAGGCGGATGTGGACACAATAAACTGTAGATCTCTATAATGTGATGCAAATAAATTTTAAAAGCTTGTAAAGTTTCCACCCAACGCAGTTTCTTTTTATTTTATTCAAACACAACTAGTGATCTTGGTGCATTGAGCTGGAGCATCCCCAGTTTTATGGTCTATTTAATCTAAATTACCTTAATGCTGTATGAAAGAAGAGTGAAACCAGAGACCATAAACTCATCAGGAAACTCGCTCCGCTCACAGGATGAGTGCAGAATGAATGGCAGTCTATGGAGCTATACACTCAAAATCCACTTTTCTCAGGATATCATTGTTTGTCTAGTAATTTGAATGTTGCATTCGAAAGGGGACGCAAAGAAATTACACACTGCTGGGTGTTAGATTCTTTAGAGTCACTTATTTTCTTTAAAAAGTCTTTTAAAATGTCGATGTACGGCCAGAGATACCGCTTTACGACAAGCCTCGAGTCTCTTTGTGCTTCCTTTTCTCTCGAGGCATCGACGACACGGACGTAACGATAGGCAGATAAAAGTACCAGCAACACAAAAAAAAGTTTCTGTGTTAAAAAAAAAGATCCCGCTTCGGATGCCACGACGCCGTCAACAACAACTCGTCCTGTAAGAAATGGAAAGGACGTAAGAACTCGTTCTTTTAACTTTCGACCTGTAACCCATGTTAAACTTACTACAATGAGAGGAACCAGACAATACTCTCTCCATAATGATCCAGTTTCACTGATAAAGTTGTGTTTGTAGTCATCGGTGAGCTCTGCTAAGCTAATGACTCTTTGAATGTCCTATTATTGGTTGAAATCAGTTAGTTTATGAAACATTTTGTTTTAAAGGAAGACAAACTGATTTTAATGTAAAAATACAAAGAAATTGTGTTTTTAAGATTTTTATCTGGGGCAAATATAGTGAAATATGTGAACAATATAACTGAGGATGCAATAAAAAAGGGTTAAAATGACATTTGTTCCCTGTAAGTTGATGATTTTAATGATAATAAATGTGAACATCGAACATTTCGGCGGGTAACGGTTATCGGAAGCGTCACAGCCCGCGCGTGCCTCCCGCCCTCTGCCCCCCCCTCCACAACCACGTGCGCTGTGTCAGATTCTTCCACTGTCCAACGGACATGCGCACTGGCTGCCGCGCTGTAGCGTCATCACCACCATCCCCAGAAGTTACCCAGTGAGTGTGTGTGTGTGTGTGTGTGTGTGTGTGTGTGTGTGTGTGTGTGGTACCGTCACACACACACTCTCCCTCTCTCCGTAAAGGGACCGAACCGAGCCTCCACCGGACACCGGACACGGGACACGGGACACGGGTGAGTGAACGAACATATCGATGTGTGTGTGTGTGTGTGTGTGTGTGTGTGTGTGTGTGTGTGTCTCGAGACAAAGAGGCTGTTAAATAAAACGGTTCACATCTCAACTTAAAGTAAATTAGCTAGCTCCGTTGTTCCGTTAGATCCACCGGTTTATCTCTCTCTCTCTCCTCCTCTTCCTCTCTCTCTCTCCCCCTCCTCCTCCTCCTCTCTCTCCTTCCGTTAATATTTCCTTTATATACATTTATAGGACACATTATTAATAAAAGCAGTTTTATGGCGCGGTGTTGGGCCGCCGTTAGGTCTCATTCACGGTGTGATGCTGGAGCTATTTATACATTCACATGTTGAAGGTCGTCGGTGCGGCTGTCCCCCCCCTCCGCCTCCCCCTCGGTCCGCATGCCGGTGCTGTGTCGGGTCACCCGGTGGGGTCGGCACGGAGCCAGAACTTAAAGTTTAATCGATGGAGGAGCTCACCATCCGTAGGTTTGATTTCCAGTCGGTGCTGCGGTGGCATGTGACCGCGGCCTGTGTTATCTGCCCTGTGCTGGGGCTGAATGAGATTCACATGCTGGCTCTTTTTTTGGACTGTCAATGGGAAAGATCACACGACAAGCAGTGGCCATTGTCCTAAAACAGCCAGAGCTGCTGCTGTTGTCTATTAATAAGAGTGTAACCAGGGGTGAGGTGAGGGTGAGGTGAGGGGTGAGGGTGCATTCTCTTATTGGGGTGCAGTCAGTGAGGGACTGCTGTGTTATTTTCCATTTGTAGTGGAAAGGTGTGACCTGTGGAAAGCAGGGATGGATCTATTATTGGAGCAGATGTTCAATATTTAGCAGATTATTGGTGAAACTGCAATATGCAAATTAAAGGAAGCTGCAGTTTTTTTGTTGGATGAAGGTAAAACGTGACAAATAGTGTTATAATGAAGTACTGTAGAGCTGCAGAGACGCTCTGGTCTACAAATCTTGTTTTTTTATATATTTTAGATCCTGAGTTTCAGTAAAAAATACATTTGTGATGCAAAAATTACCGTTCCCACACTTTGTGTGTATATCATCATATATATCTCTGCATCAGGGACAAGAAAACACTGAATCTGTCAAAGAAGAAGCCGATTAAGTTTGTAGATTGTTAAAAAATATTTAATAATCAGATAATTCATACAGACAATTGTAGAAAAGATATTCTAAATAAGCAATAAGCTGCTCAAAATGAATCCAAAATCACTTTTTTACACAGTCTTCTTGCAGTAACTGAGTTCACTGTTTAGGTTCATTGTAAAGTTTTGAATATAATATGAAATATCTATAAAATATATGTCATTTAGTCATATATCGGTTACAAATATCGGCTTCCTTGATTACTAATAAACTGCATCTGTATCGATCTGCAGTGGAAAGACAAGTAGGAGCTGGTTTAATGTAAATATTCCCCCTGCTGAAGTTTCCTTCGAAGGCTCCAAGGGCGTTGTCCTCTGACCTCTGACCTCTCTGGAGGTAGAAGCATCTTTAGTAGGCAGCAGAGATACGTTTAGTAGAGTTTTAAGATGGATATGTGTTATATAACAACCGTTTCCTTTCTTCCTCACAGTTCTGCTCCCAATAAATCGTCTCGTTCTCGCACTCGAGGCTGACTGCAGGGATAAAATGTACTCAAAGGTTCCTCATTGTGCAATCTTTATTGTTTTAGCCTAATCTTTATTATCTGACTCGCTGCTGAAGTTCAAGTGCTTCAGTAATGCTGACCTGTTGCTGTTACAGTGATTGTTGGCGGGGAACCAGAAACTGTGCTATCTGGAATTCATGAGCTTTATCATTAAATATTTAAATAACATGGACAGTATTTGAATGTAATTTCTGCCACTAGGGGGTTTCTTACATCAAAACAATAACAGAAGATGTAGTTTAAAGAGGTGGTGGAGCAGCGTGGGATCATGGGAGTTGTTGTCTTCACCACCATTGGCGTCACTGCAGTCAGCTTCTCCTGGTTAGGATTCCTTCAGTGTTCATGGTTCAGGAGGTTTCTACCGGGAGCCCAATGATCCACAGAGTAAACCTAGAGTTAAAAAGCACCAAGATCTAAACAGTGGATGGTAACAATGAGGCTTCAGACTGGATCAACAGTCAATGTATGACAGCTTCTGGCAGACAACCACAACACTGACGCAGGCACAAAGGGGATATGACGCCATCGACAGGCGAGCGGTGAAACGCAGCGTTACCTGAATAAAATGACAGATTTCTCTGAGTTTGAACATTGTTGGAAACATTTGGGACAATGTAAGAACTCAACTCAACTACATATATAAGATAAGTTTAGAGTTTATAGATATTTTAATGAGGACATGTTACAGATTAGAGCTTTAATCGATTTATCGCCCTTTATAAGCTGCATCAGTGACCGAGTGGAGAGCTGGTTTGTTGAATAAATGTTAGAGATGCAGCATAAAATGTTAATAATGAGGAATGTTGGTTGAGCCTGAGGTTTAGAGGAAGGGACAGTAAATTAGTGGAGATAGTCGGTGGTGTGTGTGTGTGTGTGTGTGTGTGTGTTAAAAGAAGGGTGATACTGATTAAGAAGGAAAGCCACATGTAGGACCAGATGTAGGGTGAGCTTATGTCTGCGTCAGAAACAATGAATACGGTTTTTGGGAGCACAACCTTTCCCTTCCACACTTCCATTGTAGAATAAGACAAAACTAACATTCAGTCTGTGCAGCTCACTGTCCTTTATGTGCGTGCGTGTGTGCATGTAAAGGTCAGGTACAACTGTACGTGATGCATGTGGAGTGTACTCGGGATTACAGAGGTGTATGAGAGGAGGATATATATTGGGGCGGCATTACCTTTAGTTCACGCCTACAAGGTTGAAGTGGTCGTTAGTGGTGAGCTGGCGAGTATTACACAGACATTTAGCTGTAGAGGGCAGATTTATAATGCTTGGTAGGAGGACCTGAATTATATATAAGTGGTCTTCTTTGAGGCGTTGAAGCCATATGTTTATATTTAGAGTTATATTTCACAGAGTCACGATGACTCTGTGAAATTAGATTCACTCATTCATGGAAAGAATGAAAAGCACCCCCCAGTCTTCCTTCCCTTCCCGTTCATCACAGGTTTTCTAAGTGTGTCTTTCCTGTGCACTACATGCAGAATTTGGGAAATCCAGCAGGCCGGGCCAGACACAGACAAAGCATCTTTAATCATAGTTATTCCCCCTGGAGTTGAACCCTGTAATGATCGGGTGAGTCAGTAATCCCAGGAGCAGTATAAACTATATTTTAGGACTGCATGATATGGTAAAAAATATCATATTTGGATTATTTTGAGATATTCCATGTGTGATATGATTCACTATTATTATTTTAGGGTCACAAATTTAATTTCCACTGAAAAAAACTATTAAAATCATGATGATGTGACACATTTGTGGCGTCTGTAGGCCATTGCACATCATTATAATGCTGTTTTAATACACATTTGTTGTAAAACTGTTTTAACATTTCATCTGCTGAAACTTTTATTTGTTGTTGGAGTGATTTCAGGTAACTTCGGCCCCTCAGCACACTTTAGTAAAGAGAGCGTTTGTTACTGCAGAATGAATGGCCTCATTGATAACTCCTCCAGGAGTTGTCCTGCTTTTACTAGTAGACACACACGCACACACACACACACACACACACACACACACACACACACACACACACACACCTAACTGAGCCCTAATACAGAGCACTGGGACCTCAGGGGCCGACAGCTTTACGTGAACCCCTAAACTGGACATTTCTGAAGCACAGCAACTGACCCGTCGCTCAGCCCCCGCTACCCTCGTTAGTTACTGTTGCTAAGGCTGTCGATCTTTATGTCCTCGTAGTACTGTATATACGTTTTCAAGGTTCAAGGTTCAAGATTCAAGGTTATTTATGTGTCATTGTACGACGCAAGAAATTAGAGTTGTAAATCCTTCACGCTACACACACACACATAGAACATAACAGATACTTACAATTAGATTAAAGGAATAATGTATAAAACAGACAAAAATAAAACAATGTATACAGTTATTTATGTACACATATACATTCCTGAGTGTATAGGTGTATGTTTTATGTATCTAAATATACGTATATGTTTGTTTTATACATGTGTTGGGTTGTTACATCGATGATGCACCAAGCATCCTCTCGTCCCGCTCTCTGTCGGCTCCTGATCCGGTCTACAGTCTCTGATTTCCCATTGTTTGGCCTTCCTGAGTCCCATTTTGTTAAACCAAGACAGGAGCAGCCTTAAATCTATCGTACCTATCTATCTATTGATCGTGTCGAAGTCCACTGGGGGGGGGGGACTACTATAGTGAAAGAGGCTTTTTAAAAAAATATAACCTGTAATTTGTGGAAGAATTCTTTGTTTAAAGAAACATTGAACAGATTGTAGAAAAGAATCTTTACTTAAGCTTTACTTAAGAATACAGATGGTTACGATGAGAAAAACACACACACACACACACACACACACACACACACACACACACACACACACACTCAGGTTGTATCAGACCTATCTGACCTCTGTCCGAGGGGATTTACAGAGGTTACAAACACATCTGGACTCTTCTCACAGTGGAACAAAAGGTTTCACTCACAGGACCTTTTCCTCAATCAGTGAGAAATAGTTTGTGTCATTACAGAGCTCACTGTCGTGTTAATCAGGAAACAGGAAAGATAATATCAGGATCAGATAATAAGACTATTTAGGTCACACAGTTTTCTTCTACAACCTCCACAACAAGTAGTTGACTAATTATAAAACATACATACATAATCGCTACCACTTAGCCTAGAAGCAGAAGTAATGCTGGGTGATGATCGATGAATGATATATTATTATACATCATACAGACACACAACTATCTATCAGTCCACACAGACTCTGATACATGAAGTCTGATGTGATTGTGTGTTTATGCTAGTTGTTTATTCAAAGCTTCCCCATACACAT